AGCCGGGAGAGCCATCATTGTAGCGAACACGTTCCAGCAACAATGCACCTCAACCGGAAAGAAAACAGAAGGCTAAAGACAACAACAAGAAGTAACCATCAAAGAGGCAAGCTCCCTCACAACCTACAGCCCAACCGAGAAGCAAAAAGGCCAAAACTACTACAAAATCAAAATCGACAGCAACAAACAGTGGAGTAGATGTCTCAGCAACCTTCGGTAAACCTCTCATTCCTCCTCAACATATGGAGAAATACAAGATTCTTCTTGCTCGGCCGGTAATTCCCTCTCAATTTATGGTTTTGGATGTGCTGAAAATTACTAGAATAGAGGAGAATGTGCTGCATTACTTCAAGAATATGGGCTGGCCTAGATTCCAAGAGATGAGATTTCCTACTTATGAAAAATTGACAAGGGCGTTTCTAGCTACATTTGTCTTTCATAAAGATGGAATCAACAGCAGGTTTCAGTTTCTTTGGGAGGCAAACAATTTGAGTTGTCCTTGAGCCAAGTACACAAGGCTTTGCTATTTCATGGGGCAGCAACAACAGAACCTGAGCTTCCTTATGATGAAAAGGCTTTTTGGAGAACAATTGCAGATGATGATAAAGAGTTTCTACTCACAAAAGACAGGAAGAAAAACCATTCAAGATCCTGCTTTGGTGCTGGTACATGAATACCTGTGTCGGACAGCTTTGGGTCATGGTTCCGACAACCCCGGTGTACACAATACCGACCTCCGCTTCCTCTACAGTTGTGTCACGAAGAAGCCACTCAACTTGGGCTATTGGTTGGGAGTTCTCTTTTGGAGGAATCATTACTGCTATAGCCCAAACTTATTGCAGATTTCCAAAGAATCCGCACGGCATCGACAAATGTGAGGGAACCATAGTAATCGAAGAAAGAACTCTATCCAATATGAACTACATAAGAAGAATCAGATCAAGAGGAAGGTATGTATCGATACCTTAGTTCAACAAAATCAAGGAAGAGAAAGAAAAGCCAAGACGGAGAAAACCACGACCAAGGAGGCAACAGAAGAAGATGATTTGGCTGCTGCCCGTGCAATAGAAATCCTAGCAGCCGCTGCCAGCACCTCAGGAGCATCTTCAAGGACTCCCCAAGCTGATCCAAATCATTCCACAAGCACCCCGCCACAAGGCACTCACCCGGGGGACATCATTGCTCACCTACAACAACAACAACTGGAGCAACAAGATCATAAGTACCAGCAACATCAACACCAAATCAACATCCAACATCAATTTATTCAGAAAATGGCCGAGCATCTCAAGAAGAGTGGAATTGATTGCCCGAGCGACCTTCCACCACCTCCCACCTCATCCGCCTAACATTTGTCCCGAGGTTTTTCATCTTTCCCTTTGCTTACTTTTTCATTTTGTGTTTGCATGTTTAGAGTCTAGGTACAGAACATTAGGGACAATGTTCCATCCTAAGTGTGGGGTGGAGAGTTTTAGTTTTGTTAAGAGTATGTATTGTACATGATGTTTGGTGAATGTGAGTCGTTCCCACTGTGTTTGATGTGTTGTGTCTTGAACTTGATAGGGTAGAATGTCGTTGCTTGGAATGATTGTGTGAATGGTTTGTGAACTTATTATGCTTCGGTGTATGAATCTGCCTCTCGGTTATCCCAAGTTAACCTTGAAATGCATAACTTGTGTTTGCATGTAGGATTGCCTATTTCACATGGTGTACTCTCATATTAAAATTCACTCACTAGAATTGAATTGTGCACGAACTTAGGTAAAATTGAGTATAATTTGTATAGAGTAGGGTATGGCATCTAGTAGCCGTGAGTTTGAACCTTCAATGTCAATTTCATATTGTGTGAAGTTTTTCATTACTTTGTGTTTCGGTAATCTTGATCAAAACCACGAATAATGGATTGTGTTGTATGTATGCAAGCATAAACGATAGAGACAATTAGTAAAACTCGAGCCAAAAAGCCTACCCTATCATTGACAACTAGGACCAACCTCTTTGAGACATGGCCTTGTTTTTCGGTTCGATCACACCTCTCACCTTTACCCTTTTCTTGTATCCCCCGTTGAACCCTTCTCACGAGGAATGAGGTCTTTTGTGTGAATATAGTGGCCCATTTTCATTTTCATTGTCTTGTAAATAAAGTTGATGTTCTAAGGTAGTAGTTGAAGTAATAGCTGAGAGATGCATTTTGCCACTGCAGTATGCAGTTTGACACTGCATAGGCATTCTGCCACTGCACCTCCTTTTGCATCATTTTGTCTTCTACTACTTAGAAAAGAGGTATTGACCATCAATGTAGTGTCTTTTAGTCTCATCCCCCTAAAAATAAAAATAAAAAATCAGTAAAAAGAAAAAAAAATCAAATTTCAATAGGAAAAAAAAGAGTAAAAGAGAAAGAAAAAAAAAAGGGGAAAATAAATAAGGATCGATGAATCATCTTTGGGAATCAATGTTCTTCCCTTGTTGTATAGGCCTAGTTTTGCTTTTGTTATGCATTGTTTTTATTTGTTCAAGGCCTCGATATTAGATAGTTCTTGCTTTGGGTCCACCTTTGTAACTCATTCCTCGTGAGCGTCATCATTTCCCTCTTCTTAAACCTCACCTTATACATATTACCCAAACGTTGTCATCTTGATATGCTTGTGTTTGTATTGATCGGTCCAACTGTGGTTGAAGAACAAGGTTCAGGTAAGCACTAGTAAGGAAAAACTTGAGTGTAAACACTAACCCTTAAACACTTGTGTGATTGAGCAAAATACACATTTCTAGTGAGGAAATCTAGATGCCATGCTTTTACTCTTAACTTACCTTACTCTTTGTTTGAATGAGTTTTGGCACAATCCACTATTAGTGTGTTTATTCTAGGTGTAGGGTACATCATGTGATGGAGTGTAATATAACTTGCAAGCCTAGGTATGCATGGAAAGGTTGAATTTGACGATAGTGTATATACATAGATATCTACACCAAAGCATAGTAGGTCCACAGCTAGTCACACCGTCACTAATGCAACAATGGTGTTAGTCGAGTCTTAGGAGTAGTGTGTCTTTTATTTGAGTCCTAGGAGTCTTAGTTGTATGTTTATTTGCTTCTCTTTCAATTATTTCTCTCTTTTGCTTTGGGACAAGCAAATGCTAAGTGTGGGTTGTGATAAGCTTCATAAACATATATGTATTTTGTGCATAAATGATTGATCTTTATGTATGTATTTGTTTAAATTGCTCTAAATTAGTTTATATTGACCATGGAATGGCCCTAGTGTCATTACCAAGACATGTAGCGATTTAATACAGATTGAAGCTAAGATTGTGAACAAAACAAAGTGCAGTGGCCGAATGCAGGTGCAGTGTCAAAATGCAGATGTGCAGAGGCAAACGTCCAACAGGAGGCCAAATCGAATTATTGTGGTTGGAATCTTCACTCAACTATCAGCAGCCCTCAGAAATTATTGGGATTTGATCATATTTCTTGAAGTGAGCAAATGGATTTGGTGGCTCACCAATAGAGAAAATTATGCAAGAATTTATTGCAAAGAGAGAGAGTTAAGCTGGCAGCAGCCTTCTCTTGGAAATGGGGTCTGCAATCTCCTTGTTTTGGGGGATAAAAATCTGCAGAGATGAACTTAAAAGGGGCAGCAACTAGGAGAGCTAAGGGGGACACTGTTGGAGACTAGTTTTAGACAGAAAAAATCAAAGGAGAGAGCTCACTTTGCCACACTTTGGAGTTGAGCACTTTGAAGAGAGGAAGACTCTTGTGAGTTGTGGATTAACTTCAACACTTAGTACTTTCTCTACTCCTTTGTTTTGGTAGTTAGTCATCATGTTGGACATTAGCATGTTTATGTACTTTCTTTTCATCATGAACTAATCCCCCAATTTCTGGGGGAAACTTATGGATTTCATTATCTAGCCTCGATGTTTTAATCATGACTTGTTTTTCTTCCATTTTCTATCGTGTGGAATTGTTAAACGCTTTGTGTTGATTGGCCACCTTCACAATGATTTGTAGTTTTCTAGGTTAATAACGATAGTGAAAACCTAGTAACCGAACACATTTCATACTACATAATTGCCTATCGAAGCGATAGTGGATTAAATAGGGAATTATGCAATCATTTCACCGATATCGTTCTTAAGGCTAATTAATTAAATTCAGTTAACTACGATAGTAGAAATTGTCTTAATTAGTTAGTACGTGGTAATTCTCGATAGAGATAGCTATCAAATTATAGGTATCCCGATTGTAGGAATATGGATTAAATCGATTGACAAGGGTAATTAAATTTACTGAGGTAAAATAGTAAAATCTTGTGTTTCTCCCGGAACCCTCCAATATCAATTTCTCCAAAATAGTTTATTTATCGAGTTACTTAATTTGTGCAATCTTTGCAAATCATCACTTGATTACAACCTTTGCAATTCCTATAGTTTCTTGAACTAAATTTGTTAATTATTGAGTTTCACCAATCCCCTAGAAAACGATAATTTTACTTAAACTTTATTACTTGTACGACACTGTGCACTTGCAGTTTTGTCGCCACCAGCGCTTTAGGGCAACAGATATCTTTGTCAGCTCACAAAGCGCGAAGGGCAGATTCGCGGTCGTTCCTATGAGGAAACACTTATGATATTCGAGCTCATGCCTTATCGAGCATGTTTTCCCATTTTGAAAGTATTTTATTCTGCCGCAGCAAATGGTAATCACAATAAGGATTTTAAGAAAGAAGATTTAGTTCTTACTAAAGCCGAAGTCAATGAGGGTAATACTGTAAAAAAAACTAAAAGTTCGAGCTCGAGGATCGAGTTATGCGATAAAAAGGCCAAGTTGTCATATACGTATTGAATTGACAGACAAATCTTTCTATGAAAAATATAACAGGTACGAGTTAGAAAGCTATTATAATCATATTGTAATGAAGAAAAACAAAAAAAAATTATGCTTAATAAAGAGGGTGGGTAAAAAAAACATTTCATGATTCATATATATGGTGAGGGATTATGGGACAAAAAATAAATCCACTTGGGTTTAGACTTGGTACAACTCAAGGTCATCATTCTCTTTGGTTTGCACAACAAAAATTTATTCTGAAGGTCTACAAGAAGATCAAAAAATAAGAAATTGTATCAAGAATTATGTACAAAAAAATATGAAATTTTTTTCTGGTGTTGAGGGAATTTCACATAGAGATTCAAAAACGAATCGACGTGATTCAGGTCATAATATATATGGAATTTTCAAAATTATTAATAGAGGGTAAACCTAGAAAACTCGAAGAATTACAAAGGAATATCCAAAAAGAAATGAATTGTGTGAACCAAAAGATCAACATTATTATTACAAGAATCATAAATCCTTACATGCACCTTAATATTCTTGCAGAATTTATAGCCGAACAATTAAAAAATAGAATTTCATTTCGCAAAGCAAGGAAAAAAGCTATTGAATTAACAGAACAGACAGATACAAAAGGAATTCAAATACAAAGTGGGGGCGTCTTGACGAAAAAGAGATTGACGCGTTGAATGGATTAGAGAGGGTAGGGTCCCTTTACAAACCATTCGAGCTAATATTGATTATTGTTCCTATACAGTCAGAACTATTTATGGGGTATTAGGTAAATTTTTTTGGATATTTATCGACGAGGACTAGTAAACCCTTAGTTAATTTGCCTTTGCATTCTATACCTATATATTGATAGAAAAAAATGATAAAATGTTTTATTGAATCATAGCAAAAAAGGAGCAATTTTATAAGGTTGAATAAAAAAAATTGATTTCTAAGTTGATTTAATTATAATTGCCATGCTTAGTGTGTGACTCGTTAGTTTTTTTATGAAAAAAAGAGTTGACCCTTATTATGTTACTATATGAACTAATAACTAGAAAACTAATAAGCAATTCATCACTTCACATTATCCGGATGGAAAGAAACAACCAAGATATTATAGATTTAGATTTATGATATAAAAGTAGTACTGCAATTTTTTTTTCATTAAAAAACAAATTCAATTTTGAATTGTAAAGCAAAAATCGAAAATTATGCGGAGAAATGGAAGGGTGAGAGAAAAAGAGAAAACGAATAGCAATGATATATGATTCCAATATGTAAGTTTTATGATTTGTCTCATAAAAGTTAAAAGCCAATGTAATAAAGCATCAATATCGATTGATCTATAATTAAATTAATCCGTTTCTAGAATAAAAAAAATCAAGAGCCTTGATCCAATAAAAAAATTAGAAAATTGAATCAAGAACAAATTTTATTAAATTTTTTTCATTTTTTAAAGTCTCCATTGTAGATTAAGACCTAACCATTAATAGAGAAGTGATGGGAACGACGGAACCTGGGAATACATAAGATTCTAAATCTTAATGATTTTTTAGGCAGGATGGCAAAAGAACTAAGAGACAATTCATTTATTTGGCGGCGTCAGGGATTAACTCTACCAATGAAGTCAATATTGAATGAGTGAATATTTGCCCGCGAAGATTTTTGTATTTTGATATTATTGAATTTGTGAATTTTAAGCATTCTGGTATCATATTATTAATAATAATACTAAGATTCTTTAAAATATTCCAACAAAAATGGCATTATCTAAAACTACCTTAAAATAAAATAAAAATTCTCTACAAAATAAATCTATAATATAAATTGTATAGATGGTTATATAGAAATAGAAAACAAAACTACAATACAAGTTTATACTAAATACACAACGTTTTCATTTTTTATAACAGAAATAATTTTGTATATTATATTATTTAGGCAAAATACACCTGTATAGCCATAACTTTCACGTTTTTGACAAATATAGCCATTTCTATTCGAAAACACGAAATAGCCCAAAAAACAGAGGGTAGTGTGACAAATCTAGCCAAAATCGTTAGAAACTTTAACACCGTCCGTGACTCCGTTAAATCGTTTGACGAAATGCTGACGAGGATGCCTAATCATCGCACACGTCAGCGAGAACTCAACCACACTTGCCACGTAAGTGCCATGTCATATTTTAATTTAAAAATAAATAAATAAATTATCTATTTAAAAAAAATAAAAAATAAAAAAACAAACACATGAGATGAGGCCTGCTCCTTCCCCTCTATCCCTCTGTCGAACTCTTCTCCCTCTCCTCCTCTCCTTCCTTATTCTCCAGTCTCCACCTTCCACCACCAACCCCAACTCCAAACCCATATCACCTCCTCACACTCCGTCACTCCACCTTCCACCACCGACCCCGCTGACACCAGTTCTTCCTCCCAATCCACCCAGATCTAAAACTCCACTCTTTTCCTCTGCTTCCCGAGCTCCACAGAGCCCGACGACATTCATGGCGGCAACCACAAGCTCCGACGAGTCGAATCCCCTCTTAGAAGGCCGCCGACGGGAAGCCGATCAGAGGAGCGGATGGTGGCCGACTAGCATCAACGAAGTGCTGGACAATGAAGAAGCCAAAACCCAGATCTTGTTTTCACTGCCCATGATCCTCAGCAACGTTTTCTTCTACCTCATCCCTCTAGTCAAGCCGCCACGAGATCATCAACCTCATCAATCGCTTTGAGGAAGAAAAGCTAGCTAGCGAAGCAATGAACGAAGGTAAAGAGGAAACCCCCCTTTACTTTTGAAACATAATCTGCATCGGCCAGCAACACCACCTCAAGTTGAATCCTCCTTTACTTTTTGTTGCTGTTTCCCATCCTCTTCTTCCTCCTCCTCCTCCGCCCAGCTCGGCGGCCGCGTCATCGACCGCCACAATCCCATCATCAGAGACCTCAGAAGAGCACCTCGAGTCCTTCCGAACCCGCCTTGTACTGCTTCCCACCATGGATTATTAAAGAATCAAAGGATGCAGTGGTGAAAAAGGGATTGAGGAGGAGTTTTCTAGATCTAGAGATTAGGGATTTTGGTTTTGAATGTTGGATTTGGGAATGGAGAGAGGGGAGGCATTATTCGCAGTGGAAGAGGAAAGGAGAGAGGGGAGAGAAAATAAATTTTTTTAATTAATTTCTTTTTATTTTTGTTTTTGTTTCAGTTAATTCCACCTATTGACAAAATATTGCCAACTCAGCATTTTCTGTTAGTCCAGTCATACCGTTATATAACACCGTTAAAGGGATGGACGGACTTGGCTATTTTTGGTTTTCGAATAATTATGGCTATATTTGACACAAACGTGAAAGTTATGGCTATACAAGTGTATTTTGCCTATTATTTACCAATCTCATATCTATTTTTTAAGCATTTCATTCGCGAGGAGCTGGATGAGAGGAAACTCTCATGTCTAGTTTTGGACTAGAGATGGAATTGAAAAACACCCATCAACTAGGCTCTCGATTCACCGAAAACATTCCTCAAGGTTTGGGTAGTAACGACAGGCTCTCGATTCTGGATCTTTCTTCCAACAAGCTCACTGGAATTCTGCTTCCCAATCTCTGTACTGGTAATCGCTTATAGACTCTGATTACTCTCAGCAACTTCCTCTTCGGGCCGATCCCAGAATCGTTGAGTCAAATTCTAATGTTGAAAATTTCTTGAACGGATCCATACCAAGCGGTCTCTTAGGGTTATCGGAGCTTACCCATGTGGAGCTTCAATACAATTTATTGACCGAAGAGTTTCCCGTTACTACCGAGGCTGTAGCAATGAATCTTGGCCAAATCAGTTTCTCCAACAATGAGCACTATGGGCCATTGCCTCTGACTATCGGCAACTTCTCTAGTGTTCAGAAGTTGCTTCTCGACGGGAATCAATTCACGGGTTCAATCCCTTCAGATATTGGAAAGCTACAACAGCTTTCGAAGATGGATTTCAACCACAACAAGTTATCAGGGCCAATCACACCTGAGATCAGTCAATGCAAGCTGCTGATGTTCGTGGATCTGAGTCGAAACCAACTCTCCGGTGAAATTCCGAATGAGATTACAGCGATCAGGATCTTGAACTACCTTAATGTATCGAGAAACAATCTCATCGGTAGCCTTCCTCCATCCATTTCCACTATGCAGAGCCTAACATCTGTTGATTTCTCTTACAACAATTTCTCTGGTTTAGTCCCTGGTACTGGCCAGTTTAGCTACTTTAACTACACTTTCTTTCTAGGTAATCCGGATCTCTGCGGTCCTTACCTGGGTCCTTGTAACTATAATAATTTTTTTTGTTTTATTTATTTTATTTTATTGTGAAAATGAGTTGAAAATGATTAGAAGATTAAAATTTATTTTATTTATTATTTCTTTAATTGCCAGGTCACTAAGTTATCGGTCAACTTTGAGGGTTGACTGCCACATCAGAAAAATTTAACGGAGTTGGACGTAGAGTGACCAAACTTGAACCATTTAACTAATTTAAGTGACCAAAATTGGATTTAAATATTTTCAGTGACCAAACATGAACGTTTTTTGTAATCTCAGTGACCAACCATGCAATTAACCCGAGGAAGAATGAAAGGAATGTCTTATCGAGGCAATCGTATTTGTTTCGGTAGATATGCTCTCCAAGCATTTGAACCCACTTGGATTACATATAGACAAATAGAAGCAGGCCGACGTGCAATGACAAGAAACGCAGGGAACGGTGGAAAAATATGGGTACGTATATTTCCCGACAAACCCGTTACCCTAAGACCTACAGAAACACGTATGGGTTCAGGGAAGGGATCTCCCGAATATTGGGTAGCTGTCGTTAAACCGGGCAGAATACTTTATGAAATGGGCGGAGTAGGAGAAAATATAGCCCGAAAAGCTATTTCAATCGCAGCGTCCAAAATGCCGATACGAACTCAATTTATTTTTTCGGGATAGAAAAGGAAACCCAAAGGAAAGAAAGGCCTTTGGAATGAAAAAATCGTAAGTTTATTTTTTTGTTTTGAACAACCAATATTTCTTTTTTTTTCGTTTGCACTGAAATAACAGATTAAAAAATGATATGATTCAACCGCAAACCCGTTTGAATGTAGCAGATCATAGTGGAGCCCTAAAATTGATGTGTATGTGAATCATAGGGACTAGTAATCGACGATATGCTCATATTGGTGACGTTATCGTTGCTGTTATCAAAGAAGCAATACCAAATTCACCTTTAGAAAAATCCGAAGTGATCAGAGCTGTAATTGTACGTACTTGTAAAGAACTCAAACGCAACAATGGTATGAAAATACGATATGATGACAATGCTGCAGTTGTCATTGATCAGGAAGGAAATCCAAAGGGAACTCGAATTTTTGGTGCGATCGCACGAGAGTTGAGACAGTTAAATTTTACTAAAATAGTTTCATTAGCGCCCGAAGTATTATAAGAACGAGTATTCTAAGCTGAAATAAAACAATTAAGATGAGACCATCATATAGTTATAGTATTTGTAAAAAATTTTATTTAAGTGAATTAGAAAAAATATGTTGATTATATCAAATTGAGGCGTAACTAAATTTTAGTTTATCATGGGTAGGGACACTATTGCTGACATAATAACCTCTATACGAAACGTTGACATGAATAGAAAAGGACCCGTTCGAATAGCATCTACGAACATCACCGAAAATATTATTAAAATACTTTTCCGAGAGGGTTTTATTGAAAATGTCAGGAAACATCGAAAAGGCAACAAAAATTATTTTGTTTTAACTCTACGACATAAAAGGAATAGGAAAGGCTCATATCTAGCTAATGTAAATTTAAAACGGATTAGCCGGCCCGGTCTACGAAGCTTTCGAATTATCAAAAAATTGGCTAAATAAAATGTTTGGTCACTCAAATTATACAAATCTTTCACGTTTGCCACCCGAATTACTTTTCTTTCTTATTCGCCACTAACTTTACGAATCGTTTCACCGTTAGTCACTGACCGTTACACTCCGTTAACTTTGTCCTACGTGGCAGTCAACTACAAAGTTTGATCGTTAACTAGATGTCGTGAAAATTAAAAAAATTAATTTATTTTCCACCTCATCATTTCGGATTTCTCATACTAATTATTTAATTAAAATTAAATAAAAATTAATTTTTCAGTAAGGACGGAATGAGACAGCCAATAAAAGATTAACTAGAAAATAGTATGTAAAGTATATGATACTGGAAATGACCAGATTTGCAAGAAGTAAATAATGGAGATGACCAGATTAGCAGAAGATAAATACTGGAGATGACCAGATTAGCAGAAGATAAATACTGGAGATGACCAGATTTGCATAAAATAAATACTGGAGATGACCAGTTATGCACGAAATAAACTAAAGTTGAAGATGGTTTGAAAAAGATGAAGTAAAACTTGAAAATTTGATAGACTTCTTACACAGGAATTCTTGAGAGAAGATGATGGGAGGATAGCTTTGCAAGAGAGCAATTCCCACTCAAAACAACTCTACTTACAACAAGTGAAGGGAGTCTCCTTTTATAGAGAAATGGAGTCCCCTTTTGGTAAATAAATTGAAAAACATAATAATGACAATGTGGACACTTATATGATTATGTCACATGTCATAACAAAATTACATTTTTAAAATAAAGGAAAATATATAATTTGTGGTCTTCTTTCCATAACCAAATTGAGTGGGTTGGAAGTGGAGTCACTTCTTCTTTGTCTTTAGGATAGTGGGTTGGAAGTGGAGTCACTTCTTCTTTGTCTTTATGGTAGTGGAAGAAGCAATGGGGTCACTTCTTCTTTGTCTTCAAATTAGTGCTTTTGCTTGGCAAAGGACCAAGCACTTCTTCATCCGGGTCATGGTTTTGGAACGTGGAATCTACGTCAGATGTTGAGCTAGACGCCACATCTTTGAGAATTTGGAAGTATTCTTCTTCAGTCTTGGCGCCAGCTAAGAGAGCACTGATTGAGGATTTTGTTTGCAAAAATTGCGTTGAGGATTTTTCGATAACTTTGGACAATTCAGGATTGTTATTGAACCATTGGAGGACTTGAGATTTGTAGGCTTGTTCTGGGCGAGGATTTGCAGCCCAATATTTGGTTTTGAAGCTGCGGCCTAACATGGGTACCTTTGTGACGGCACATGTTTGGTAACTGAATTCCCAAGCAGTAATCTAAGGAACTTTGATGTAGTAACAAAATTTGAGGAGGGGTAATCCTGGACCAGAATATTTTTGACAGAAGGTTTGATATCCCTCTTGTATCTCAGTTGGATAGATATTTTCAGTTGGCCCAAAAAGATCCCACCAGTGCATAAACCAGTTGGGGAAAATAATGGGAGTTTTGTAATCCCAGAAAAAACTCCAGGAGTGTCGGTACATATGGTTTTGCTTGAAGAAGGCATTAATCCAAGCTTCATGGTAATCCCAGTAATTGAAGGATTGGCAGATTTGGGGGTGGTTAAGAGCAATAGTAGCAGGGAATTTTTGGTTGGTGTTTGGGCTAGTAGGCCATTGGCGAGGGTGGATAATTTGGTGGATTTTGCAGGTTGAGTGGGTATTGAGTGTTTTGTCAGAAGGATCAAATTTGTGGGAAAAGGTGACTGATCCAGTTTCTGTGAGGATAAGTTCATAATATTTGTGGGTTTTGTTGAGGGATCTTGGTTTGAAGAACCACTCACTGAGGAAATGTTTGGCAGTAACATTTGGATATTGATGGTAGAAACCATCTTCGACAACGAAAATGGGTTGAAAAGTGTTTTTCTTAAAATACGTTTGAAATCGATTTTGAGGGGCTTGGACAACCACCACCTCTTGGGTTTTGGGAAAAACGGTTTTGAGAGGGGCTATTGAAGATGCCACCTCTGTTGAGGTAGGTGCGACATCAAGATGATGTTGCTGATAGATTTGTTTGGTTTCTTCGGAAGAGATGGGTGTGGGTAGGATGCCACTTGGCGTTTGAGTATTTGAAAGAATGAGTTTAGAAGGGGAAATTGTTGAGGAAGTTGAAGCTTCAGTGGGAAGCTTTTGTTTAGAACCAGAAACGGCAATAAATTTTTGAAGGTAATTTTGGGCTTCAAGAGGAAGCTTATCAATATTGATTAAAGCTTTGGATGAACTTGAGTGTGAACCAGAATCATCAGAACTTTCTTCATACTCACTTGAATGATCAGGGCTTCCTTGTTCACCATCAAATATCTCTCTCCATGTTTTGATTTTGATTTTCTCTTTATCTCGCAATCTAGTGGTAGGCGGCATTATGACTGGAGATTGCAAGCCTGAGAGTTTTCCGCACTTCGTCCTCCCTGCAAAAATTCCCGAGTAAGGAAGTCTGGAAGAGAGTTTGAAGAACCATTTATAAATTGTATGTCGAAATAAAAAATGCTAAGGATGGCTTGCCATCGTGCAAATATTTGTTTGGAAGCAAGGTTTTGAACATCTTTTTCCAAAATGTATTTTGCTGATTGGCAATCAATGCGTAGTAAAAATTTTTGATTGAGCAAATCATGCTGAAATTTTGAGATGCATAAAACAATAGCAAGCAGTTCTTTTTTGACAGTGGAGTAGTTGATTTGGGTAGGGTTCCAATGTTTAGAAGTAAAGCGTACTAACAGCTCCTTATCATTCTGAATCTGCTTAAGGATTCCTCCATATCCTAGGTCAGAGGCATCGGTTTTGACGATTTTAGGGAGAAAAGGATCACTTATGTGAAGGCACGGGAGACTCTGAACCTGCCTCTTAATTTGCTGAACTATTTTGGTATGCTGGTCACTCCAGGGAGGGGGACTCTTTTTCAATCTATCATGGAGAGGTTTACAAAGAAGATTGATGTTGGGATAAAAGTCAAGGACATAGTTTAAACTACCCAGGAACCGTTGTAATTGATTTTTGTCTAAAATTTGATCAGGAAATTTATCTGCAAATTGTAGCGATCTTTCTATTGGAACAATTGTTCCTTGACTAATGTAGTGACCCAAAAAACGTATCTTAGTTTGAAAAAGACAAAGTTTTGGTTTAGAGACAGCCAGACCGTTACGTCGAGTGACTTCAAGAAATAGATTAAGATGTTTGAAATGTTGGTCAATGGACGAAGAAAAAACCAGCACATCATCAATATAAACTATTATGAAATCAAAATAAGGAGAGTAGATTTGATTCATAATTCTTTGAAATTCTGAGGGAGCATTTTTCAAACCAAACGGCATGACGTTCCATTCATATTGGCCAAAGGGAACGGTAAAAGCAGTTTTATAGCGGTCTGTTTCTTTGATTTGGATTTGCCAAAATCCGGATTTCATGTCAAATTTAGAAAATATTAGTGACTGTGAAAGTTTCTGGAGTAGATCCTTTTGGTTGGGTATAGGATACCTAATCCATTTCAGAGCCTTATTCAACGGTTTGTAGTTTATAACAAGACGAGGAACGCCACGTTCTTTTTCTGCATTATTAATGACACAGAAAGCAGAACAACTCCAAGGGGATTGGCTAGATCTGATAAGGCCCTTTTTGAGTAATTCTTTAATTTCTTGTCGACAATGTTTTTCAAGGTCCGAATTCATTTGGATAGGCCTAGACTTGGTGGGAATGAGATTTTCATTGAAATCTTTTTCGTAAGGTAGATCAACCTGATGTTGTTTTTGATGCCAAAAAGCATTGGGTGTATCAGCACAAATAGAGCTTTCAATGTGCTCTTTTAAAGAGTTGATTCGTTTTTGCAAAAGGGGTTGAGAAAGCTGTTGTAAGATTCGCTGAAAATGTATCTCATCGTGCAAATAAGATATTTGATTAGTTTTACAACGAATTATATGGTTTACATATTTTATAGAAGAACGTCGTAAAACATTGAGGTTTCGAACTTTTGGTTTTTGGAGAAATGAGAATTCAACAGTGTTGCCTAACACAACAGTGTTAATTCCTTGGTCGGTGACGGTAAAAGGTTTTAGAAGATTTAGAAAAGGTGTCCCTAAGATCACCTTTTGTTGCATGTCACGAACTAGGATAAAAGGAGTTTTGAATTCAACATTTTGATGACAAATTAAAGCATTAGAAAGTTTATATTGTATTTGAAGAGGTTGAGAGTTAGCGGTAGATAGACGCTCGAGGGTCTTTTCATAGTACTTAGTTGGAATTAATCCTTCTTGGATGCAGTTCATGTCTGCGCCTGTCTCAAGAAGGGCCACTGTGCTTAAAGTAAAATCAGAAGAAACCTGAATATTAATGATAACATACCATTTTTGGGTAGTAATGGTAGATAAAAAACATAGAAAATCATCATCAGTTAGCGTTTCCTCTGTTTCTAAACTGTTGGTTGCATGAGGAGTTTCATTGAAAAAGTTGTCGGGGCTAGATGTTGATGGCTCTTCTAAAGGTTTGAGAGCTATTAAAGTTTGTAATATCTCATGATCACTATTTTGTAACTGTCGTAACTGTTGAATTTCTTTCTTAACAATATCCAATTCCTTTTGGAAGTCAGGAAGAGAAGGATTGTGGGAATCATTATTATTATGTCGAGAAAGGATATCTTTGACACTATACGTCGAACCTTGATGAAAGGGATTGGTAGGTGGAATAGTCACAGGAGGTTTCTCCATGTGCTCATGAAGTTTTTTGAAATATTTTTCTTTGAGATGAGGATTATCAATATTATTGATCAGATCTAAGATAAGCTCTTGATCTTTGGTTAAAACATTGATAGAAGATTCAGAACTTTCATCGATGTCATCAAATTGTAAGGCCTGAAGATTCTCATCATCATCAGAAGAAGAAGAAGAAGAATCCTCATGAGAAGAGTAGTGTTGGAGAAAAAGATTATTGATTTTGTCATGAATCTCTTCATCAAGATTAAGCTCATTGAGCTTCTTTTTTATACGACAATATT